ATCCTGAGGGACATGGCTAGCTTTTGTGAGACTTCGTCTGGAGGTGGGGGTGTATGGGGGTATAGGACCCAACATGAATTTATAAGTAACAGTTACTTTGGAATACCTAATTATATTGAATTGATGGGGACTTTGCTCTAAATGTCAGAAGGACTGATCAACCTTTTGACTGAGAGGCAGCTGGGTCAAGCCTATTTTTCTCAATATAATAGGTTATACTATAGACACATAAACACACAATTTAAATAAGTAGTTTATAAAGTTGTATTTCTTTTTGTAAAAGTAAAATTAAGGTGTGGTAGAATTGTGGTAACTGGAGAATTGTGCTTGGCAACAGTCTTTTGTTTTGGTGGGAGGAGCTTAGCCAGGCTCTCTCTCTCTCTCCCTCTCACTGACTCTCTCTCTCTGTGGCTGACCCTCAACCTGGCAGGATCTCTGGGTCCTTCTCCTATCTTTTGGGGCATCATGTGTGCTCCAGGGGTGAGTTTTTATAATTTAAGTTTTGGCCACCATACCCAGGGTGACTAAAGTGTGTCAAAACACTGGTTAGCCCAGAGTTATGTCAGGAAGAGTGAAGGACAAGAGTTGTGCAACACACCATGTGGAGCACAGGCATGGAGTGTGTAGATTTTGTTTTTAAAATGGAGGGTGATTGTATATTCTGTACATATCTATTGAGAATACAGTTATATTTTATAGTAGTAGTTTACATAACCTGTGAAGAGGGCTGGTGAAAGGGTATCAGAGACACTCAAGATGATCAGCCATGATGTAAGTATTACCCCTAGACAAATAAGGCCATTAAGTAAAAGCTACCCCACACTAGAGCATGTAGTGAGAACCTTACTATCAAGGTAATAAGGGACAAACCAACGTAACAGATTTGTAATAGTGAGGTAGTACAAAATATATAACAATATTACAATTAGTAAATTTAGTAATGGGAATGGTTTTATCTTGGCATGATACACTGTTTCTATAAAAGCTCCTATATTGGGAGAGTATTTCAGGCAAATAGCAATAGCTAAATTAGGAATTTTATATTTACAGTCATTTGGGTGAGTGTAAGTGTAAAATAGGGGGAAATACAGATAACAAAAGTAAGTCTATTTTGTTTTGGATGTATTCATGATAGAAAAAAGAGAATAGGTGGTTTTTACATAGTTAGCTGATGATGAGGTGTGTTAGGGAGATCAGACGTTTTTTAACGGTAGTTGTGAAAATGGTGGTTGAGTCTGCAGTTCTACAGTTTTCGGGCAGGGAGTTCCAGATTTTAGGCCCTTTTATGTACATTGAGTTTTTGTAGAGATTTAGCCGGACACGAGAAATGTTAAAGAGATTTTTGTGTCTGGTATTGAGGCTATGGGTCCTGTTGCAGCTATCAAGAAAGTGTTTGGGAGTGTTGAAGGGTAACTTGATAAATTAGATCATGACTTGGTGAAAACTACAGTATGAGAGCATAATAGTACTAAAACTTTTATATGGGTATGACACATGGGCTCTGAATTTTAGAGAGAGGAAGAAGTTAGAAGTAGTGGAGATGTCATGTTTGAGAGTAGTGGTGGTTGTGAATATTATGCAGAGAATTTAAAGGGGTAGAAATTAAAAGGTGGTGTGGAGATCAACAAAGGTATAATTCAAGTGCTGAGGAGAGGTTGAGGTAGTTTAGGCATGTAGAAAGGATGGAGAGAGATAATTGATGAAGACAGTGTATAAAACTGGGGTTGAAGGAAGGAGGGGTTGGGGATCATCCCAGGAACAGCTGGAGGGAGAGGGATGGGTTAAAAGGAGGTTTTAAATTTTAGGTTCTTGAGCATCCAGCAGGCTTGTGTACATCAGATAGGAGAGAATAGAGATAAATGGTTTTTAACAAAACATGTTTTAAATGATAATGGCAGCCCTTTAGTTATAGGTAATACATATTTTAAGAAAAAGAGGATAAATAAGTATACAAGATATGATGTAGGGCGAAATGACAGTAGTTTGTTGGATTATGTATTGATAGATAAAAAACTGTTGAGCAACTTCAGTATGTACATGTTTACAGAGGGGCCACAGATATATCAGATCACTTTCTAGTTGTAGCTACACTGAGAGTAAAAGGTAGATGGGATACAAGGAGAATAGAAGCATCAGGGAAGAGAGAGGTAAAAGGTTTATAAACTAAAAGAGCAGGCAGTTAAGGTAAGTTATAAACAGCTATTGGAGGATAGATGGCTAATGAGAGCATAGGCAATGGGGTCGAAGAGGTATGGGGTAGGTTTAAAAATGTAGTGTTAGAGTGTTCAGCAGAAGTTTGTGGTTACAGGAAAGTGGGTGCAGGAGGGAAGAGGAGTGATTGGTGGAATGATGATGTAAAGAGAGTAGTAAGGGAGAAAAAGTTAGCATATGAGAGGTTTAAACAAATTAGAAGTGATGCAAGGAGGGAAGAGTATATGGAAAAAAAGAGAGAGGTTAAGAAAGTGGTGAAGCAATGTAAAAAGAGAGCAAATGAGAGAGTGGGTGAGATGTTATCAACAAATTTTGTTGAAAATAAGAAAAGTTTTGGAGTGAGATTAACAAGTTAAGGAAGCCTAGAGAACAAATGGATTTGTCAGTTAAAAATAGGAGAGGAGAGTTATTAAATGGAGAGTTAGAGGTATTGGGAAGATGGAGGGAATATTTTGAGGAATTGTTAAATGTTGATGAAGATAGGAAGCTGTGATTTCGTGTATAGGGCAAGGAGGAATAACATCTTGTAGGAGTGAGGAAGAGCCAGTTGTGAGTGTGGGGGAAATTCATGAGGCAGTAGGTAAAATGAAAGGGGATAAGCAGCCGGATTGATGGTGATAAAGATAGAAATGTTAAAAGCAGGTGGGGATATAGTTTTGGAGTGGTTGGTGCAATTATTCAATAAATGTATGGAAGAGGGTAAGGTACCTAGGGATTAGCAGAGAGCATGCATAGTTTCCTTTGTATAAAGGCAAAGGGGACAAAAGAGAGTGCAAAAATTATAGGGGATAAGTCTGTTGAGTATACCTGATAAAGTGAATGGTAGAGTTATTATTGAAAGAATTAAGAGTAAGACTGAGAATAGGATAGCAGATGAACAAGGAGGCTTTAGGAAAGGTAGGGGTGTGTGAACCAGGTGTTTACAGTGAAATATATAAGTGAACAGTATTTAGATAAGGCTAAAGAGGTCTTTGTGGCATTTATGAATTTAGAAAAGGCGTATGACAGGGTGGATAGGGGGCAATGTGGCAGATGTTGCAAGTGTATGGTGTAGGAGGTAGGTTACTGAAAGCAGTGAAGAGTTTTTACGAGGATAGTGAGGCTCAAGTTAGAGTATGTAGGAAAGAGGGAAATTATTTCCCAGTAAAAATAGGCCTTAGACAAGGATGTGTGATGTTACCGTGGTTGTTTAATATATTTATAATGGGGTTGTAAGAGAAGTAAATGCGAGGGTCTTTGGCAAGGGGGCGTGGAGTTAAAAGATAAAGAATCAAAACATAAAGTGGGGTTGTCACAGTTGCTCTTTGCTGTTGACACTGTGCTCTTGGGAGATTCTGAAGAAAAGTTGCAGAGATTGGTGGATGAATTTGGTAGGGTGTTCAAAAGAAGAAAATTAAAAAGTGAATACAGGAAAGCGTAAGGTTATGAGGATAACAAAAAGATTAGGTGATGAAAGATTGGATATCAGATTGGAGGGAAGAGTATGGAGGAGGTAAAATGTATTCAGATATTTGGGAGTGGACGTGTCAGCAGATGGGTCTATGAAAGATGAGGTGAATCATAGATTGATGAGGGGAAAGGTTTGAGTGGTGCAATTAGGAGTCTGTGGAGACAAAGAACTTTGTCCTTGGAGGCAAAGAGAGGAATGTAGAGAGTATAGTTTTACAAACTCTCTTATATGGGTGTGAAGCATGGGTGATGAATGTTGCAGCGAGGAGAAGGCTGGAGGCAGTGGAGATGTCATGTCTGAGGGCAATGTGTGGTGTGAATATAATGCAGAGAATTCGTAGTTTGGAAGTTAGGAGGAGGTGCGGAATTACCAAAACTGTTGTCCAGAGGGCTGAGGAAGGGTTGTTGAGGTGGTTCGGACATGTAGAAAGAATGGAGTGAAACAGAGTGACTTCAAGAGTGTATCAGTCTGTAGTGGAAGGAAGGCGAGGTAGGGGTCGGCCTAGGAAACGTTGGAGGGAGAGGGTAAAGGAGGTTTTGTGTGCGAGGGGCTTGGACTTCCAGCAGGCATGCGTGAGCGTGTTTGATAGGAGTGAATGGAGACAAATGGTTTTTAATACTTGACGTGCTGTTGGAGTGTGAGCAAAGTAACATTTATAAAGGGGTTCGGGGAAACTGGCAGGCCGGACTTGAGTCCTGGAGATGGGAAGTACAGTGCCTGCACTCTGAAGGAGGGGTGTTAATGTTGCAGTTTAAAACTGTAGTGTAAAGCACCCTTCTGGCAAGACAGTGATGGAGTGAATGATGGTGAAAGTTTTTCTTTTTTGGGCCACCCTGCCTTGGTGGGAATCAGCCAGTGTGATAATAAAAAAAAATGTTTTTGGAGTGTGAGCAAGGTAACATTTATGAAGGGATTGGGGGAAATGATTAGCCAGACTTGAATCCTGGCGGTGAATAGGTAGTGTCTGCACTTTGTAGAAGGGGTGGAGATGTTGTCGGAGGATAAGCTGAATTGTAGTGTTAGCACACTTCTGAAGAAGACCACTAGTGACTGAATGAATGATGGTGTCTTTGTCTCTGTATCACCTTGTTCTGGCCGGAAACAGCCATGGAGATAAAAAAAAAAATTTAAATACAAATGCTAAATCAACTGAATGGAAACCTGATCCCAGTTTTCTATTTTTTTTTCTTTTGCTGTTTTTTAAACCACCACCCAAACTGGCAAGTGGGGAGAAACAATGGCAATTCTGGATGGTAGAAGACCAGTTAAGAGCCATAAATGTAAAAGACAGTCAAATAAATTGCAGAAGCTTAATCTTTTCCACAGAATATAATCATACCTGGTTTGGCTTTCCTTTCCTCTTGAGTAGAATTGCTGGTTCACTAACAAATGCAGATCTCTTCCGGTTGGGAGACAAATTCTGTGGAGGAATTTGTAGGGTCACCCCAAATGTTGTCTGTCTGCCCATTTCATCAGCAAAATATGTTTGCCTCACGTACCAAGGTGTTAGCCTTCATAATATCTTGTCTAAGCTGAGCTAAGCTGCGCCTGAACATATCCTCTCTGCCAGGGTACAAAAGAGAACTTTGCTCGAACATGTCCTCTCTGAAGTGTAACAAAAATAATTAATATACATAAATTTAACACTATCAAACTGATAAAGCTGGGTGGGTGGAAGATTTTTCACAAAAAAATGCATCATCCCAGTGAAAATTAAATAAGATGCTATGAAGGAATGCCACATTATAATGTACATCAGTGAGATTAAATAATTCCTGCATAAAATTATACGTGAAACAGGAATTCTTATGAATATATGATAAGTCTCAATGATGATGTAAAATCTGAGAGTAACTACATTAAAGAATATCATTAGATTGAGAGAGAAGTACATTTTACAGCACTGGAATCCCTGTTATACAGTGGACCCCCCATACCAATTTTAATCCGTGCAAGAGGGCTCATTGGTATGCGAAATATCGGTATGCGAATGAATTTTCCCCATAAGAAATAACGGAAATCAAATTAATCCGTGCAAGACACCCAAAAGTATGAAAAAAAAAATTTTACCACGTGAAAATACATTTTCCTAACACAAGAGAAGGATACATGCACAATAGTAGAGTAGTACATGCACAGTATATATTGTGCATGTACTAGTCTACTAAATGAAGAATAAATGACACTTACCTTTATTGAAGATGCAGCAATGACTGATGAGACACTGTGTCCTGGGAGTGCCTTTTTCCTCCTGAGTACTGTAGGTCCTGTTTGATATTTTCTTCCAGAACATGCCTTATCACACTGTGTATGTCACTACGATTCTTAAATCTCTCAAACCAACCTTTGCTGGCTTTAAATTCACCAATATGAGCACTAGTTCCAGGATTTTTCCCTGTTCACCTGGGTGTTAGTCGACTGGTGTGGGTTGCATCCTGGGAGACAAGATTAAGGACCCAATGGAAATAAGTTAGACAGTCTTCGATGACACTGATTTTTTGGGTTATCCTGGGTGGCAAATCCTCTGGGGTTAATTGTTTCTTGGTATATTCTCAATAAGCCACACCAACAACAGTGCTACAGCACAGCAGACGATGCTACAGCAGCAGCAGACGATGCTACAGCAGCAGCGACGATGCTACAAGCAGCAGCAGCAGCTGACAGTGCTACAGCAGCAGCAGACATGCAAACAGTAGCAGCAGACGATGCTACAGCAGCAGCAGAGACATGCTTACAGCAGGCAGCAGCAGCTGACAGTGCAGCAGCAGCACTTTTACCACCAAATAGTAACGATGGTTGATTGGGGGTTTATTTTTACAACCTGGCCAGCCGGAGACACGCACTCCACTTTCATACTTATCAAGATCTTTTCTTCATCCTATAGTAATTCTCACCTTAGCTGAAAGGGTTGGCACTAGAAGCTTCCTTGGGGCCCATGGGGTCACTTATTTTCCTATAAAAAACACAAAAACACTGTAATAAATACGAAATGTTACGATTGAAATGCTGGATGTACTGCGAGGCTGGCTGGTAAACAATGCCACCGGCGGAACATGTGAGGCTGGCTAAGGCGCACATTGGACGCGTCTCGGACGAACAGCGGTGAGCGGGTTTTTGAGCGGTATGCGATGCAAAATTTTTGCGATTAAAGTGAGCGGTATGCGGAATAAACGGTATGTGATGCCAACGGTATGCGGGGGTCCACTGTACTAACAATAACATGCATGCAAGCTTACAACACTATCAACTGCTACCATTAGGATTTAACCCTCAACCCTGTCACTGTCCGTCATGTAGATCTATGTTATTGACGCAAGGGTCCCTCAACTTAAGACACATGATAACTGACTCAGAGATGAATAAACATCACCTGCTACTTGCTGGTGACTTTAAATATAAGCCTCATCCAAACAGCTGACCCCCAGGTAGCTGATTTCACAAACACTATGAGCAGCTGCTTGCTACTACCATCTATAACTGAACCAACAAGAATCACAGAGACAAGTTGTTATGCAGTGTGCTACAGGAAAATATTTTATAAAATAACGCTCCATATATGTCATTTTCAGTGTAGCATCCGGAAAGTGGACGTGTATTATTCCTTGTAAGCGAATGCGTTTTATTCCTGTCAGTCAGGCAGTGGCCAGGACAGGAGCAGATGAGAGGTGTTTAGTTCAGTACCAGACGGGCGGTCACGGGGTAAAGTCATCATGTTCAGGTGGTACTTTGAGTAGATAGTTTTGGCAAGTTTTTAGTGCATTCTGTTTTGTGCATTTTCTGGTGCTCTCATGTTTATTTGTAAAACCCTAGTATGCAGGGGCCTGTGTTTTGGAGAGTATTTAACATTTCCACTGTAGGCTATGTAACCTGCAGAAACGAGGGCGTCATGGAGCCTCCCTGTTCATAAATGGTCATTTATTTTTGTTTAACTCATTAGTACAGTGTGCTAGTGAGTTTAGGTGAGGCTGGAGTGGTGGTGGTTTTTTGGAGTAGTTGTAAGTTGTATGTAGTTACTATTATTATTATATTTTACAGTAAGGCCCCGCTTTACGGCGTTTTGCCTTATGGCATTTCGCCTTATGGCGTTCCGCTAATACGGCGATGTCAAATTATGACCAAAATTTGCTATAGGGCAAGCAGTCTTTCAAATACGCCGCCCCCCCCACCCGGTTTGTTTAACGTTTTCCGTGACTTCATCTATATGTCAGGAAACTTTCCAAAATTTCAAAGTGTTTTAAAGTTACTGCATATTTTATATGTACTCTGATAATTATACTTAAGTGTACCTGTACTTAAATATACTTACACACTATGCTGGTGTGCAGGTACACATTTAAAAAGCTAAATC